CGGGCGCCCACTTTCCAACCTCATTGCTTGTGGGCCTGAGGGTGCCCGGAGCGGAGGCACCTCTTCTGCTCCCCGGTGTCACCCCATGTCTCTCCCTCATCCTGGACCCCGGGTTTCCCCCTTCCCCTGGTGTCTTCCTCATCCAGGGCCTCGATGCCCCGTTCTCCAGCTCCCCATCCCCTCCCCACCGTTTTTGTCCCCCTTGTTAATCCTCTGCCCCAGTACCGTCCCCTCCAAATGCTCCCTGTTCCCCTCGCCTGGTTTTTACATGGAATGCTGGAGAACCTGGATTCTCCAGTCTTCCTTCCCTCAGGCTCAATCCCACAGCACTGGCCAAATTTTGTTAAGTCTTCAGTTTTTCTCCAGGACTCGCTTGTTCTTTAAACCTTTTGTCCTTGCCTACTGTCTAGCCCAGAGGTCTTCTAATGGTTGTATTTTTGAGCCTGGGGAGCTGCGTGCAGGTTACATAGGTCCGTTGTCTAGGGATCACATTACTCCTGGTTCCTAGTGGCACTATGGGCTGGGCCTGGCCAGCAGGAAGTGCCCAATAAATGCCAGCTCACTAAATGTTAGAAATGTGTCTAATTTCATGGTGTTTGCTTGAGAACCTCTAGAGGAATATCTCTATGTTCCTGGGTTTGGAGGAAGAAGTGATCTGTAATTCTGTAGTTCCCCTAAGGTGCCTTTGGCCAGGACCTAGGCTGAGCTTTGCTGTCTTTATGTCCTGAAGGGGTGGGAGGAACTGGTTGAAGACTGGTGATATGAGAGCTCTGGGCTTCAGAAGTGATCACTAAGTCTGTCACTCTGGGGTTTGGATGTGCTTCATTTGCCTTCCTGTCCGACTTCTAGGATTGCAGATTTCCAGGATGTCCTGAAGGAGCCCACGATCGCTTTGGAAAAGCTTCGGGAACTCAGTTTTAGTGGTAAGCAGCAGCTCTCCACGTTCAGGGTTTCCTTAGAGCAGCATTGTGGTTAGGATGGAGGGGAAGGTGCCCAGGGCCACACCTGGTCAGTTCTAGGGCGGCCAGCCTGCCTCGTGGGGCCTTCTGCTGATTCTGGGACTCTCAGCCACCCCTGACTGCCCTGACCGCCAAGAGCAAGCCTCGGCCTTAGGATGCTTCCTGGGGTGTAAGCGCTGCTTGCTGCTGGCTGAGGGTTACTGGAGAGGATCGAATGCGGGAGCCTGGAGCGGGGAAGAGACTCGAGCCGCTTCGGGGTCTGCCTCACTCCTCAGCAAACTTCCTGTGTTGTAGAATTTGGTTAGCTGCAGAGCAGTTCCTGATTCTCTCCCAGGCTTGGGGATTACAGCTGACTCAGGCAATGGTGAACTTTGGTTAACGGTAAAATTCTAGCCTTGAGTCCCTGACTTTAAGGAGCTGAACCCCAGCAGTGTTTGACTTTGCCCTCCCTGGCATGGTTAACCTTCCAGCACAGAGATTTTTGCTTATCTTTTAAAATATCCTAAGGTGTTCTGTGTGGATTCTTGTTACTGCTCTGCCCTTGTGACTTGGTCAGCAAGGAGTTCTTGTAGTTGCTTTTCTTGTCCCCATGCAGATTCTGAGGAAGGTGGGCATCAGCTCCCACTCACGGTATTAGGGGTACTGTAGCAGCAGCTGCTTTAGTGAGGCTCCTGACGATATCGCAGGAGACGTTTGTCTTTTGTTCAAGAGTGATATTTAAACCCTGAAGATCTTGAGGGGTCATGGGGTGTGTACTGAGCTGAAGAATCTACCAGGCCTCGGGGAAGCCATTGTGCGTTGAGTTTGGGCTGTAGAGTTAAGACAGACAGACCTGTGTTGGAGTCCCCGATTGCTCTGTCATTACGGATAGGTTTCTTTATCTGGAAGGTGAGGATGACAGTGCTAATCTTCTCTACTTACTAGGGTTGTAATGAGGGTCAAGTGAAGTAATGTCCATAAGGCACAGAGTGCTTAGCATTTATAGCTTAGTTTATATTCCGCAAATATTTACAGTGTCCCTGCTGTGTGCTGTGCCCCACGCTAGGGGCTGGGAATATAAGGCAGATTTGGTTCTTCTCTTTCGGGGGCTCACCCAGCTGTCGGTGTTACAGAGGTTAAATAAATCCACAAACCATGTTATACAGTCCCAACTGGGCTGGATGCTATGAAGGACAATTCATGGAGCCATTATCGTTTATAATGAGAGACCTGACTCCAACTGAGCAGAGATGGTGGTGGTGGGTAAGTGCTGCTCTGAGGAAGAAATACCAAGGATGAGAAGGCGTTATCCTCAAAAGAACATTCCCCACAGAGGGAGCTCTGGGGTGGGGGCAGGGGTCTTGGAGAGAAATACACAGGATTAGCCTGTAGTCCAATGATTTTTCTGACAGGAGATGATTCTTGAGGAAGTACTTCTCGCACTCCATTCCTTGCCCACTGGCTCTGAGGTGGAGGGCTGGGGGGGTCTGGGGGCTCTGGCCTGGGGCGTGACTCTTGCCTGCTGTGTCCACAGGCATCCCCTGTGAGGGCGGACTTCGGTGCCTCTGCTGGAAGGTGGGTGTGCCTGGGGTGGGGTGCCTGCTCTGCCAAATGTCCTTGGGTTCCTGCATGGCCTGCCCCCGCCCTGGCCCCTTCCCCTTCTTCTGCGCCTTTCCTTGCTTGTCCGAGGAGACTTTTCTGGGAAGTTCTGGGTTTCTTTTCCTCTTGGCATCCCCTCCAGGATTCCCTTGGGGCAGGAACACGTAGTAGTGGCAGTGAAGCTCTCTGCTTCCTGGTCCGCACAGGGCAGTAGAAGTGATGCTTAATGGGACAGAAAGAGGCCACGCTTTGCCCAAAGCTATTAGCCGAGGTGGGAGCAGAAACCCAATGTCTTGGTTTCCAGCCTCTTGAGCTCCAGGTTTCCTTATCCTTTGCGAGGGTCTCTGTGAGGATAAGCAGAGGAAAGGGTGGGTTTGGGATAAAGTGGAGAGGAAAGGGGAGGCTACCCCCAGCCCACACCTGCACGCGTGGGTTTCAGCCCATCTGGTCTTCTGGCCTTTATTAGACATTTTCCTTGAGGCCTGTCGGCCTCCACCTACTGTCTGGGGTTGGGCCCAGGAGTCGACAGAGCTTTGTTCCTCTCCCTCTGTGCAGATTCTCTTGAACTACCTCCCCTTGGAGAGAGCCTCATGGACCTCCATTCTGGCCAAGCAGAGGTGAGACCACGAGAAAGGGGGGTGACGGGAGGGCCTTCCTATCAGACAGCAGGTGGTGCTGGGCCTGCCTTGCCTCCTGTTGCTGCTTCTCTGGTCCAGGCTCCCTGAACGAGACCCTTGGGATCATCCTCTCTCCCCTTGTCTCCTGCAGGGAGCTGTATTCTCAGTTCCTGAGGGAAATGATTATCCAACCTGGCATTGCCAAGGCCAACATGGGTGTGTCCAGGGAGGATGTGACCTTTGAGGACCATGTGAGTAAGGGTCTCAGCAGGGGCCAAGGCTACAGAGTAGGGAGGGATGCAGGCTTTGGAGCCAGAAGTTCCGTCTGCCCCAGAGGACAGATGTGGCCAGTCTGGGTCCCCTCTGGACCATCCAGTACCTCCTCTCTGTGTTGGGCCGCTCAGCCCCTGGAGGCCGTCGTCTCTCCCTTCTCCTTCCCAGGCGCTGGGCCTGGTCAGGAACGTAGGCCATGAATTGGGGTCTTAGTGTGTGTGTAGAACTGAGCCAAGTCCTCTGTGTGTGCTGTGTCTCCTTTCCTCCTCGCCTCTGTTCCCTGGGGAAATTTCTGTGATTTTATAATTGAAGAGAGAGCAGGGCAGGAGTGAGAATAAATGGTCTTTCTGTGGCCTGGAGGGAGCCTCATGCTCTCCTCAGATACTGAGCCCCTCCCCTTGTGCGGAAAGTGGAGATGGATGGACCCAGGCCCGTCCTCCAACGTTTAGACTTGACGATTCCGAGCAAGGTGAATTAGATTCGAAGAGACCTGATAATACAACATGCGTTCATTCAACAAGCATTTAGTGAGCACCTGGTATATGTGGCATTTGAGACAGAAAGAGTGGTCCCTGCCCAGCAGGGGTGTCCTCAGAGCAGAACGTGATGTCGGAGGCTCCCCAAGTAGCTCACAGGCTGTCTCAGAGCCCCCGCTGGGCCTCTGCTCAGGCCCCCCCCAGACTGGAATCTGCCTCCTGGGGCCCTGGCTGGACCTGGGACAGAGCAGCTCATCCTCTCCCCTCAGCCACTCAACCCCAACCCCGACAGCCGCTGGAACACATACTTCAAGGACAACGAGGTGCTGCTGCAAATCGACAAAGACGTCCGGTAAGCAGGGCACTGGGGGTCAGGAGCTGGCCCGTGGGACTTCTGGGGGGTTTCCCAGTCCTGTCCTTTCCCTTTGCAGCCCACACCCACAGGCGGGTGTTTGAGGAACGGCTGGAGGCTGGTCTGGTAGGTGGGTCCAAGTCCCAGTGATGTCGGCCTATGAACGGGGCCAGTGACCGAGTCGAGTGCCTGGCTCTCCTTTCTCCCTGCCTTCGTTTCTGTCGTGCCGCAGGTGTTTATGGGTTCATTGGATCCTTCTTGCGACAGATACTGAGATCCCACTCTATGGCGAGCTCAGTGCCGAGCTCAGGGTTGAGCATGGAATTGACAGACGTGGTCCCCTTCTTAAGGAGCTTAGAACCCGGTGGGGAGGATGGTTAGATAGTCCTTCAGCAAGATGGGTCTTCCGTGTAATTAGCATTTGTGGTCAGTGCCCTGAGGGAAGAGTTCAGGGTGCTTTAAGGGTTGGGGGGAGGCCTCGGCTGAGGTCTCAGGAGTCAGAGGCCTTGGGGGAAGAGGGAGGGAAAGACCGTGGTGGTGGGGAGCTGCCTGCAGGAAGGCCCTGAAAGCGCACGGAGGCATGTTCGAGGAGCAGTGGTGGAAGCCACACTGGAAGGAGGCGGGGGTTGGACCTTGGACTTGATCCCAAGGGCATGGGGCAGTCATGCAGAGGTTTTGAGCATAGGAGTGACAGGATCAGATGGGTGGTTTTTGAAAACTTGTGAGCCTCAGTGTGTGCCTGGGCGTGCTTTTCCGCTTGGCAGAGAGACGTGGAAACACGCTCCTGCTTCCTGTGGGGTTGGCGAGTCTGGCAGTGGGTGGGATCTCCCACAAGGCTGTGTGAGGAGCTGGAAGGGAGGCCTCCCTGCAGTGGGGCTGAGTGGTTGGAGCTGGAGATCTGCAGTCAGTTTGCCGGGTTTCAGTTCCACTTTCACCGGGTGCCGGCCGTGTTTCTGGGCCCTCGTGGCCCTGGGCGCTGCTCCTCTGTCCGTGCTCAGCTTGTCCGGCCCCATCTTCAGATGGCCTCAGGTGGACACCCAGCCCAGCGTGGCTCAGCCAGGATGCAAAAGAGGGTCTCGCCTCCTGCATTCTCAGGGTGGAGTTGGGGCGGCCTCTGTGCACGAGGTGTCTTAACAGTTTGCGTCAAGAACCATGTCTTGAACCCGGTTCTAGAGAAACAGGTTCTGTCTCACACTGGTAGCGATTGTAGCATGTCATTCAGTGTTTTTGGGGGGGCAAGTTTGCAACGTGCTGGGTGTAAGAAGTCTGGAAAGCGTGCCTGTGCTGCAGTAACGTGCACGAGAAAAACTTTACCTGTTGAAGTGATGCAGCGATGTGGGTCCATTATATCTCAGTAAAACTGGAAACGAAACGAAACCAAACCAAACCTATGTGATCGCATCGTAGAGACTGTCTCCCACCTTGAGTTTTCCTCTCCCTCTGTCCTGGACATCTTCCTGTGTCAGCTGTATAGTATCCTGTTACACAATGTGCAGCATAACCATTTTATTTAAGTTAGTTTATCAACATAACCATTTTAAACCACACTGCACTGAACACCCTATATGTATTAGATAATTTTTTTTTTTAGATAAATATTTTTGACATGGAAAGATGGTTGTGGTTAAAGAGGAGAGTTGGATTATAAGACCATAAGGACACTTAAAAATTTTATATGTGTGTGTACCTATATGGAAATACAAATCAGAATGTGGGTATATTAGGGACACGTGGATGGCTCAGTCAAACATCTGACTCTTGGTTTTGGGTCAGGTCGTGATCTCGTGGTTCGTGGGTTCAAGCCCCACGTCGGGCTCTGTGCTGATGGCTCAGAGCCTGGAACCTGCTTCGGATTCTGTGTCTCCCTCTCTCTCTGTCCCTCCCCCGGCTGCACTCTGTTTCTCTCTGTCTCAAAAATGAATAAATGTTAAAAAAAAAAAAAAACAACAAAAAAAAAACAACTAAATTCTTAAAAGTAAAATGTTACAGGGGCGTGTGGGTGGCTCAGTCAGTTGTGTTCAATTCTTGATTTTGGCTCAGGTCATGATCTTGCAGTTCATGAGTTCAAGCCCTGCATTGGGCTCTGTGCTGATGGTGTGGAGCCTGCTTTAGATTCTCTGCCTCCCTCTCTCTCTCTCTACACCTCCCCTGCTTGCTTTCTATGTCTCCCCCTCCCCCAAAAATGTTACTAATTTTTTAAAATTTGTTTTTTTATTCTTGAGAGAGAGAGAGAGGGCAGGGGAGGGGCAGAGAGAGAGGAAGACAGAGAATCTAAAGTGGGCTCTGCTCTGACAGCAGAGAGCCCGATGCAGGGCTCGAACTCACCAATGGTGAGATCATGACCTGAGCTGAGCCGAAGTCAGATGCTTAACCACCTGAGCCACCCGGGCGCCCCAAATGTTACTAATTTTTTAAAAAACACAAAAAATGCCTTTTGGAATAGTGGAGCACCCGGCAACAGAGTGCTGATGAAATGCTCCAAACTTTCATCCTGAGTAACAGTGCTCTCTCCTGTTCCCTCTTGACAGGAGGTTGTGCCCAGATATATCTTTCTTCCAGAGAGCCACCGAGTACCCCTGCCTCCTTATCCTGGACCCCCAGAATGAGTTTGAGACCCTTCGTAAACGGGTGGAACAGACGACGCTGAAATCGCAGACAGTGGCCCGGAACCGGAGCGGAGTCACAAATGTGAGAGCCAGCCCGGGGGCCCCAGGGACGCCCCGTGGCAGCCTTTTCCTTCCTGCTTCCCTCGGAGCACTGGCCACCGGCCATCTGCCCTGACAGCTACCCAAAGCGACCTTGGTCCTGCCAGGTCTACCTCTGGGGCTCTTCTGCAAGTCAGCTATCAAAGCCTGGGGGCGTGGGGGGCCGGGGGAGGGTCCTCCCGTGTGCTGAAGGAGCAGCAGGGGAGATGGCTCTTGAAAAAGCGATTACACACTGACGAGAACGTGTGGGAGCAGTGAGGCAGTGAGGAGTTGACCTGGCTTTGGTGTCCTGGAAGACTTCCCCGAGGAGGTGACATTTCAGCTAAGAGGCCAGGAATTAGCAGGAAAGTGTGTTCCAGGTGGAAAGGAGGGCATAGTGGAGGCCTCAGGCAGGAGTGAGTGTGGTGTGTTCAGGGAATAGCAGAGTCCAGCCAGGTAAGAGGGGGGCACCGCCAGAGGATGCTGGCAAGGTCAGCGGCCGTGAGGCCACCTAGGGACTTCTGAGCAATGCAGGGACGTGATTCCGGTCTGCTTTTGTGAAGGATTGCCGTGGGCAGTTGCCGTGGGGGTGTTGGAAGGGCAGGAATGGAGGATGGGAGGCGGCCGCACTGTCCAGGCACAGGCAGATGGGGGCCGGGGTGAAATGTGGGTAGACTTGAGAGATCAGGAGCTAGAATTGCTAGGGCTTGTGCTGGCCAAGTCACACGGAGCATTTGAACCCCAGTCTTCTAGCAGATTCCTGTAACTCTGAGAAGCAGCCTGTAGCCAAATGAAGCGTATTACCTTCTTCCTGAATTTACACCTATGTTTGAGTACATGGAACTCCCGCTTTTTCCTCAAAACTTTTCATTGTCCTCCAACAGTAGAAAAATCCTTCTCTGTAACCTCCAACAGACTCGTGACATATAATACTGCAGAAGCTTTCTTCCCTCAGGTAGAATGATCACATCTCTGTGTCTCTCGGATAGCAGCCATTTTCTGCTGCAGGGGTGACACGGGCAGTTAACAGCTGGTCCCAGGGGCCCATGTGCCCGGGACAGAGTGACATGTGCCAGGGGGTGCAGAATGCTTGGCTGGCCACGTGGGCGACCCTACTTGCCGCTGATGTCCTGGCTACAGGGCAAGGTGCGGACCTGGCTTCACTCATTTCACTGCAGTAATTGGGGTCTGAGAGCGGAGCTCTTCCCCATTTTAGGTCTTGATCTGGTCCTGGTGGCAGAGAACCTGACCAGAAGCTGCATCCCTAGACCTCGGGACCTGCGGTTGGGCCATTTAGTTCAAGTTGAACATCTGTTTGACTTCGGGGGAAGTAACACCAGCCTCACCTTCCTGGGCCTCCACCTTCTCCCCTGTAAACTGGGCAGGATCGTTTCCACCATGCTGGCTTTTGAATCACCAGGAGGTTGAAATGAGGTCACGGCTCTGCAGATTTTGGGAAGGCTGCAAGGCATTTCTCTGAGGCCTGGGCTGCAGGCTATGGAGTCAGCCAGTCTGGGCTCAAGTCCTACTGTCACCACATAGTGCGAGACCTAACATTTCTGAGCCTCAGTTTCCTCGTCTTCAAAATGATGTTGAGCAGGTATTCTAGGTTGTTCAGAGGACTTCACGGAGGAATGCTTGCAGAGCACGGTCTTGCCCATGGAAAGCTGTCAGTGAATGTTAGCGATGTGTGCGTGTGAGCGCACATGTACACACGTGTATATGTTTGCACGTGCGTGTATGATGGGGGAGGGACTTTGTCTTCAGGATCCTGTGCTTCCCGGATGGCTTCATATGCTGGCCCTGCCTGCGTTAGCCTGCAGCTTTCTCACACAGGGAACCCCTGGCACCTGGATCCTTGCGGCGCCCCTGGGGGCTCCTGCCAGCACTGCTGTTGGAGACCTCTGCTCCGTCGCAGGAGGATCCCTCTTCAGCAGGGATCCCTCTTCTGTTTATCTCCCAACTTTTTCTTAATGAAAAATGTGAAACGTTCGCAAAAGTTGAAAGAAGAGTACGATTCCCAACTGTATACTTTCCACCTAGATTCAACAGTTGTGAATGTTCTGCCATATTTGTGGGTGTATTATATAGAGAGAGAGTAAGTTGCACACGCCCCGACCCTTCATCCGTGAGTACTCTTGTGGGCGTCTCCTGGGAAGGAGAACATCCTCCTTTGTCACCATTCTCACGTACGAAGATTAACAGTAATTCCACAGTAACACCCAACTTCCAGCCTGTGATCGGATGTCCTCAGTTGTGCCAAGAATATTTTAGTTATTTGACTTTGCATCCGAGACCCATTAAGGTGTATGTGTGAGATTGAGATGTTATATTTCATTAGTCTCTTGATCTCAGGGAGGCCTCCACTTCCGCCCCCCTCCCCCACAGCATTTGCCTTTTTGAAGGATCTTGGCCAGTTGTCTGTTTTTGACACATTTACAGGTTTTTTAAAAAGTAAAGAATAACTTACATGTAGTAAAATGCACAGATCTCAAGTACGCAACTAGATGAACTTTTAGTTACATATATGCCCAGTCAAGACACTGAACGTTTCCATCATCCAGAAAGTTCCTTCACGCCCCTTCCCAGTTAGTACCCCTCACCTCAGAGGTAAGCTCTATTCTGGTTTGTAGCACCATAAATTGGGCTTCGGCCCCGCTGCCTTGTGGAATACCCCACATTCTGGGTTTGTCTGCCTGTTTCTCCCTGTGGCGTTGGATGCGTTCCGCTGTGCTGTGTATTCCCCATAAGCTGGAAGTTGAGTCTTGCCTGAACGGCAAACATTTCTGGCGGGAACGCGTTATCTCTACCGTCGCCGCCTTACCGGCTCCTCCCCTCTTTCCCCAGATGTGCTCCCCACACAAGAACTCCACGCCCTCTTCCCTGAACGAGTATGAGGTGCTGCCCAACGGCTGCGAGGCCCACTGGGAGGTGGTGGAGCGCATCCTGTTCATCTACGCCAAGCTCAATCCTGGCATCGCTTACGTGCAGGGCATGAACGAGATCGTGGGGCCCCTCTACTATACCTTTGCCACCGACCCCAACAGCGAGTGGAAAGGTAAAAGGCCTCTTGGCTGCCCGCATCCCTCATGCGGCTTCCTAGAGAGAGGGGCCCAGGAAAGCCTGGCTAATGGGCCTCATGAGGCACTGCGACTCGCGCCCCACTTCTGGGCCTCTTCTTCCCTCTGTCAGAGGTGAGAGGTTAGCCTGGATCATCTCTGAGGTCCTTTCCAGTTCAGGCCTTCTAGGATGTGGGGAGTGTGTTGAGCTTTCAGCGCGGGTAACGGAAGTTCTGATAAAGGAGATGACCGGTACATTCCGGAAGCTGAATGACTGACAAGGCTTCAAGTAAATGGTTTGAAAAGTGTCCTCAGAAGAGCATGTAATCAGTTACTAAGTGAAATGCACAGTGTTGCCCGAAGGTGTGAGAAGAAAGACGTGTAGTCCTTAGTCTGGGGGCGGAGCGTGGTCAAGGATAGAGGAGGGCCCGGGCCGGACCAGGAGGGTGGGCGGCCCGGAGGAGCTCAGAGGCAAAGGGGGAGACGTCGTGCACGGGAGAGGTGGGGTGCGACGCGGGAGGGCATCAGTTCCCTTGCAGCTGACCCCCCTTCCCCCACCCATCGCCAGAGCACGCCGAGGCGGACACCTTTTTCTGCTTCACCAACCTCATGGCTGAGATCCGGGACAACTTCATCAAGAGCCTGGACGACTCACAGTGTGGCATCACCTACAAGATGGAAAAGGTGTACTCCACCTTGAAGGATAAAGACATGGAACTCTACCTGAAACTGGTGAGGACCACGGGGCCAAGGCAGACGGACGGGAAGGGGCACAGATAGCAGGCCTCCTCAGCACCCCAGGCCCGGGGCAAGTTCTGGCTTGAGTCTGGGAATGGAGAGTGGCTGCTCCCGCTGGGGAGTGCTGGCCTGAAAGCTGGGGCCCGACCGGGAGACCGAGGCGGCAGTTGACGTGGGAGCCTAGCAGGCTGGGCACGAAGAGGAAGTTGATAGGGTGCCTGTCGTGGGCCAGGCATGATGCAGCGTGTTCACTGTAGACTGGATGACTTTAGCTTGGTAGCAGTCCTCTGAGAAACAAAGTGCAAGCTTCATTTTTATTTTTATTTATTTATTTTTAAGACGTTCATTTATTTTTGAGAGGGAAAACACAAGCGGGGGGGAGAGGGCAGAGAGAGAGAGGGAGACAGAGGATCCGAAGCAGGCTCTGTGCTGACAGCAGCGAGCCTGATGTGGGGCTCGAACCCACGGACCGCGAGATCATGACCTGAGTCGAAATGGGACGCTCAACTGACTGAGCCACCCAGGCGCCTCTGAACTTCATTTAAAAAAAAATTTTTTTTTTTGGGGGGGGGGCGCCTGGGTGGCTCAGTCGGTTAAGCGTCCAACTTCGGCTCAGGTCATGATCTCGCGGTCCGTGAGTTCGAGCCCCGCGTTGGGCTCTGGGCTGATGGCTCAGAGCCTGGAGCCTGCTTCAGATTCTGTGTCTCCTTCTCTCTCTGACCCTCCCCCATTCATGCTCTGTCTCTCTCTGTCTCAAAAATAAATAAAACATTAAAAAAAAATTTTTTTTTTTAATGTTTATTTTTGAGAGAGAGACAGAATGTGAGCAGGGGAGGGGCAGAGAGAGAGGGAGATACAGAATCCGAAGCAGGCTTCAGGCTCTGACCCGTCAGCACAGAGCTGTATGTGGGATGTGAGATCTCACGAACCGTGAGATCATGACCTGAGACGAAGTGGGACGCTTAACTGACTGAACCACCCAGGCGCCCCTGAACTTCATTTTTAAAAATTAAAAATGATCTAAAAAGTTCTTGGAGTGTCATTCCCTATTTATTTCAGTAAACAGTTTTGTGAAAAGAAACTATATAAAAACAATTCTGTGAACAAGAAAATACATATAAACAGATCCCTTTAAACAGATTTGGAATTATGTTTTTGTTATTTTGTAACATGGTTTTTCAGTTAGTAATACTCACTGGCTGACCAGACGGCTCATCTCTATGGGGAGTAATTGTCTTACAAGGTGTTGTAGGGAGAGTAAATAAATGAAATCATATACTTCACATGTGAATCACAAGGCTGGGCTTATCATAAGTGCCTCATAATTGTCTGTCTGTCCATAAATCCAGGGTTATAATCCATACTGCATTTTTATTTTTTTATTTTTTTTTCAACGTTTTTATTTTTATTTTTGGGACAGAGAGAGACAGAGCATGAACGGGCGAGGGGCAGAGAGAGAGGGAGACACAGAATCGGAAACAGGCTCCAGGCTCTGAGCCGTCAGCCCAGAGCCTGACGCGGGGCTCGAACTCACAGACCGCGAGATCGTGACCTGGCTGAAGTCGGACGCTTAACCGACTGCGCCACCCAGGCGCCCCCATACTGCATTTTTAAAAAAAAATTTTTTTTATTATTTATTTTTGAGAGAGACAGAGACAGAATGCAAGTGGGTTGGGGCAGAGAGAGGGAGGCACAGAATCCGAAGCAGGCTCCAGGCTCCGAGCTGTCAGCACAGAGCCCGGCGCGGAGCTTGAACTCACAAGCTGTGAGATCATGACCTGAGCTGAAGTCGGACGCGCAACCGACTGAGCCACCCAGGCGCCCCCATACTGCATTTTAAAAGAATCTGAGCCATTCGTAAATCTAGAGAGCTTACATAAAAGCACGGATCTCTGGCTCCTCTTGAAAAATCGAAGATCTGACAGCACCGGCCAGCCACAACAGCAGGCGTCCCTCTGGTCGAGCGCGGCTCTCCGGGCGGCCCCAGTGCCGACCCCCCCCCCCCCCCCCCACAGCATGCCCGGCGCGGACGCGCGGCCAGTCTGATAGGCCACACGACACTGCACGGCGGCTGACCGCCATGCCCGCGCCTTGTCTCCCCAGCAAGAGCAGAACATCAAGCCCCAGTTCTTTGCCTTCCGCTGGCTGACGCTGCTGCTGTCCCAGGAGTTCTTGCTGCCTGACGTCATCCGTATCTGGGACTCCCTCTTCGCCGACGACAACCGCTTCGACTTCCTCCTCCTGGTGTGCTGTGCCATGCTCATGTGAGTAGACCGCGAGCAGAGGGCCGGGGCTGCTCATGGGGAGTGAGCCTCTGGATTTCTCGGGCGGGTGTCAAACTGCGGTTGGTAAGGCGGGAGCAGGAAGGGGCCTGCTGGGCCTGCGCTCGGTGGCCCAGGGCTCTAGCGCTTTGCTGCTGTGTTCTTTTTTTTTTTTTTTTTAAAGTTTACTTATTTTGAGAGCGAGAGCCAGCATGTATGTGCATGACAGGTGAGGGGCAGAGAGAGGGAGAGAAATAGGGAGGGAGAGAGGGAGAATCCCAAGCAGGCTCTGTGCTGTGAGCGCAGAGCCTGACTCAGGGCCTGATCTCACCAACGGTGAGATTACGACCTGAGCTGAAATCAAGAGTCTGTCGCTTAACTGAGCCGCCCAGGCACTCCTCTGCTTGTTTTCCTTAGACTGATCCGGGAGCAGCTGCTGGAAGGGGACTTCACCGTAAACATGCGGCTCCTGCAGGTAATGGGGTTCGGGGGGCCCAGCTCAGGCTCTGGTCGTGAGGCAGGTACTTACCAAGCACCCACCGCTGCCAGCCACAGTTTCAGGCTGGGGTCAGGAACAGGGCAGAGGAGTCCAGACTCCTGAGGCAGATCTGGGTTAGGATCTGGGTTTGAATTCTGGTCCTGCCACTTGAGTGGTGTTGCCTTGAGTGAATGACTTGGCGTCCCTGACCCAAATGTTCTACCTGAGATCATCTTACCCGGGGCCCGGCGGCGCCCGGTACATTGTGGTGCTTGTTGGTGAAAGCGCTGAGACCTGGGGGAGGAGGTTGGGGCGCAGTGGTTCAGAACGTAGGCCCAAGAGTAAACAGCTCTGGGTTCACATCTCTGTTCTGCTGTGGTAGTCATGTGACCCGAGCCAAGCGATCACCTCTCCAGGCCTCAGTGTCTCCAGTGCCTGGCCTGGGGTTGGTTTTCAGTAATTTGACCAGGTCTGTAAAATGGACACAGTCACAGTAACTTTCTAACCAGACTGATGAGGTGACCCACTGAGCTAATGCATGAGCAGCATCTGGTCCACGACCAGGCTCGGGATGAATGGTGCTCGGGATGAATGGTGCTTGGGATTCGATGGCAGGAGGGAGGGGAGGGAGGGTGGCCCGAGTCCTAAGGAAGGGGCTGTGGCACTGGTCGGTGCTGATTGGGTCGGGTAAGCTAGTGCTGCAGCGGGTGTAGCGTTAGCAAAGGTTTGGGCGACATGCAGGTGTCTTTGGCCTGTGGCCCCTGTCCCTCCGGCCCGGGGCCCAGCATGGTGACAGGGCCCAGTGGGAAGGAAGGGCATGTAGTGGTGAAAGGTGAGCTGACTTAAGAGGCATGTTGTTGACCTTTCCCCTGCCCAGGATTACCCCATCACAGATGTCTGCCAGATCCTTCAGAAAGCCAAGGAACTCCAAGACTCCAAGTAGCCTCCTGGCAAGAGGCCCAGGTTTGGGAGAGAAGACACCGACCCCTGTGCCCTGGCTTCTGGGACGCGCAGAAGCCTGTGGGATCCCAGCCAGCCTGAGGGGAAACTGCAGGATTGGCCCACTCCAGGCCTCCTCACCCGGCTCCCTCCCCCTCGGCCGCTCCCGCTGGGGGCACACTGTGCCATGTTCCTTCCTATCCATGCAGCCCTAGCTCTCTCCCTGCTCTTCATCCTGGGGACCTTTTGCCCAGGCTGCCGAGCAAGGCTGGAGCTCATGGGGTGGCTTTCCGGGGCTGGGGGCACTGGGGGCCGGCAAGGGTCCTTCCCTGCCTCTGCTCGGCTGCTCCCTTCCTGTTCTCCTGCTCTGGTCTTCTGGGCTCTGGTCTCGGGAGGTGCTTGGCAAATGAGCCAGAAACCACTTCTTCTGGGGGTTGGTGCTTAGGCTTCTCCATGGGGAAGGTGACACTGTGAAGGAGCTAAGAAGCTGCCAGGCCCAGGTCAAACTCTCTGTCCCTCTCCCCGCGAGTGTGTGTTTCTGTCTGTAGTCCTGGGTGGGCGTGTGTGTGTCTCTTCATCTCCCGGGTGTCTGCTGCTCCTGTGTGGTGTGTGTGTGTGTGTGTGTGTGTGTCCATGTGTATATGACGGGGGTGGGGTGTCTTTGGTCCCTCGAGGGCTCTTTCTCCTCCCCTTCTCCCTCTGCCTCTTTCACAGAGGGGATGTGTGACTCACTCTCACTCTGTCTGCCCCTCTGTTGTTCTTCCTCTGCCCTTCTCTCTTGGGGTGCCTTATCCCCAGCTCTTTCCCCTCCTCCCCTCCACGAACCCCAGAAACAGAATGAGGAGTCTGGCTCAGCAAAATCCCTGGGGGTCAACCTTGGCCTTTGCACCCTGTTCACATTCCCAGCCCTGGGCCCCCAGGTCGCACAGACGGGGAGGGAGTCCACAGTGCCTCAGCACAGGGTCCTGAATTGACTCCCGACAGAAATGTTGGAAACCAAAAGCTGCTGAGAAATGATGGCCTGCAAGGCTTTGGGCCCCTTACCCTCCTTTCTGCCCAGGGGATGGAGGAAGGAGAAGAGGGAGAGCTGGGGCTTCCAGAGATTCCCCCAAAAGGCCCTTCTCTCCCAGAGGAAAAGGACCTGAAAGCGATAGTGTACCAGGGGTTGGGATCCAAGTGTTTCAGAAGAGTCGTCGTTCTTGTGGCTCCCAGGTCCTAGCCCAGGGCAGTGAGTCCCATAAAGGGCAAGTGGGACCAATGGGAGTCTCCCTGGGCCAGGTGTAGCTGAGCCTAAAGGCCCTGGATCCTCTTGGTGCCAGGAGAGCCATGTCTCCCCCAGGCAGGCTGAAGGAGGTGCTGGCCCTTCCCTGGTCACCTGCTTGGGCTGTTCCCAGGATCTGGGGCAGGGACACTCGGAGCAGGAGCAGCTGGCTACTCTTGCCGCGGGGCTGTGGGAGGAGTGGGCACGTTCTGACCAAGGCCCGCCCTCCTGTGAGGAGACAGGTGGTTTGGATCTGGAAGGCTGGGCGATACAGCAAGCGGCCTCCGCCTCAGACTGGCCAGCAGTGGCCCTTTCGTCCCCAAAGCCTTCCCGAGTCTGGCAGCCAGGACTTTGTGCTGCCTTCCCGGGCCCGGCTGTGGGGCCCAGGAGGAGCTGTCCCCAAGTGGCTCCTGTACCGGGCTGTACCTTGGATGCTGCTGGGACTTTACGCACTTGCCTTTTTGCCGCCACCCCTCCCAACATACAGTACTTGGGAGATTTTTTTACTGTATTTATTCAGACTCCTAGTTATTTATTGCAGACTGGCAAGTGCTTGGTTTGGGGATGAAGGGTGGGGCTGGGAAAGTATACAAGCAGTTGGAGGTCTTCCTGACCTTCCAAGGTCAGAGTCAGCATCCTCTCCACCTGTCTGTGGGACCTTCCTGGTTTTCCAGCCGGTTCTGGCTGGGAGGGCTCTGAGCTCTGTACTGCAGCTGAGTGTAAGGGATACAACAGGGTGGGTGTCGTCTCCAGACTGCAAGACCCCAGCATGGCACAGAGACCCTGCTTCCCACCAGCCTGGCTCAGCCTCTTCCCAGAACTGGTCAGCTGGTGGTTCAGTCCCAACTTTGAGCCCTTCACAGCCTGAGGCTTGGGCCACAGCCTGGGGCCCAGCAGCCTGCTCAGGACACCTGATGCATTCCCTCTTGCCTGTCCCCCGCCTACCCTCCTGGGGCCATACTACTTGAGTCACTGCGTCTGATTTGCCTCAGTGGCAGACTTAGGTCCAGTGCTCTTTCCTTGACCTTGGGATGAGGATCGGGAGCACAGGGACCATGTCCAGATTACACGGCGCTCCCCGGTGGGATACTGCCTGAGGAAGGGACAGGCCCTTGGTGATTTCCCCTCCCCAGATTCTCAAGGGAGGTGCCTTGAGAGCCAGCATGCCCAGGGCTTCCTGGTTGGGAGCTGCCCCCAGGACTTTGGACACTTAGAGATTGGGCTGTAAGAATTCTGCAGGTCTCACTCCAGGGTCAGAATGGAAGTCTGCTTTTGTTTTTTCATCTGTTTTATTCCTTGAATCAATGCTGTTGATGACAAGTTGTCTTTAATAAATCGTGTTCTTTGCATTGGGCATTGGTGCTGTGATGGGCTGACACCTTTGAGACCTCGGGAAATCTGAGTGGGGGTGGAGCAAGAGGCTCTTGAAAGTGGGCAGAGAACAAGGCCAGGAACCTCTTGTTGGAAGAGTCCGTTCAAGTCTTGTAGTTCAACCACCTGCAGTTTGTCGCTGAGGAAAAGGTGGGGTGCCAGGGAAGGGGGTACTGCACAGCGGATGACACAGCAAGTTCTTTTTGAGGTTGACAAAACCTCAAGAAACAATTCATAACCACAATCTAGAGACATCACTGGGAGCACGTTTGTCTTTGCTACATTGTTGTCATTTTCTGATAGTTTTGTGTACCCTCTCCCCTCTCATGTTAGGTGGTAAGCAAGTTGCTGTATGATTTTAAAATGTATTTGTGGGCTATAGAGTACTCTAGCATGCTAAACATGTCTGAAAACCCTATATTTTGCTTATTCCAGCCTCCATTACGAGTAATACTGTGGGGAAGTTTTCCTGTTTAAACTCCTTGCACTCCCCATTCATTTCCCCAGCTCCGTCCTCCAAGTGGGTTGAAAGGTATGAGCCTTTTTAAGGCGTTTATACATACAAACTGCCCTCGGGAATCACCAGTTTCTGTTCCAACCAGCAGTTAGCGTCAGCCGCATCCTTGTCCCGGGCTGTTAAAACACTTGCCAGTGTCCTAGGACTCCTGACTTACGGTGTAATGGTTGGGAGGGTAGGTTTTGGTGTCAGGCAGACCTGGGGTCATGGCCCTGTTTCCTTGTTCTGCCAACTAGGAGCTTCCTCTCTTGAAGATTAAGTCACTTCTCGATGGAAGCTGCCGGACACTTCCTAGGCGCTAAGTGGGAGCTCCTGCGGCTCGCGCGGAGGAAGGTCCCTCGAGGCAGCCCTGGGAGGGGGCGGGGCGGGGCGGAGCCGGGCGGCGGCAGCCAGTCGCGAGCCAGGGGAGAGGTGACACGTGCCACCACCCCCCCGCCCCCCCCCACCTCCTGTGCGCGTCTTAAAAGGGCAAAGAAAGGACGCCGGGACTTAGGCTACGCGCCGGTCTGGCCCGCTCTGTTGGGGTCCCCTGTTCCTCGAAACGTTTGTGAGTGGACGCGACGGGCGTCGCACCCCTCCCTCACGCCCCTACCCGGCCCCGCCGTGGGCCCCGCAGGCCGGCGCGGCCCCTTTAAGAGGCTCGCGGGTCGGCCGCCGGAGGTCCCGGGTGCCCCGTGCGCCGCGCTCCCCGCCA